GGGGGGGGGGGGGGGGCTGCCAGTGGCGGAAACGATGAAGCCTAGGTCAAGGGTGCACGCCCACTGCCGCGGGCAGCGCAAACCTGGAACCCACAAGCCGCCCCTGCTGCTCATCCCCGCCCCTCCCTTGGGACCCCTTCCCCTCCCCCCCTTGCGCAGTTACCGTCATTACAGCAAAAAGCAGTAGCAGGCGCGACATCAGGAAATTGCTCTAGAAGGTGAATGCGTTCATCTTGCCAGGCGAGGCGCCATTTCATGCTTTTTTTTGGCGCACAGGGCCCGCCCAGGGCCTGCATGCGCGCGCCGCATGCGTGTGCGAGGTCTGCTGTGGACCCAAACTGGCTCATGGCGATGTACACTGCTGGCCGTTCCAGAGGGTCCAAATGCACCTTGGGGCTGCTGCCCTCTCGCTCTTCGTGATACTAGACTTCCGCCGCCTGGTGCGGGCGCATGCTCGCTGTCAATCAGCTTCGCCGCTCGCCCGTGCGGGCTGCACCCCGTGTCTGTACTAATGGCTGTCACTGGGGCCGTTATGTGCCCTGCAGCCAACAGCATGCACGTGTATGTATTTCAGGTGTTCGTACGTGTGATTTGCAGTTGCCATCCAAACACAACAGAATGTAACCACCAAACAGCATGGGGTGATAATAACGCAACACCTCTCAAACACACAGCACCTGCAAAAGCAGTCGCTGCGCGTGTGCGCACGCGCGCGACCCGGCTACAGCCCGCCACTGGCCCCCAGCGCGCCGCCGCCTGGCCCTGCCCTCGCCCTGCGCTCCGCGCGCGCCAGCAGTTCCTCGGTGATCGCCTCCTCGTGATCCCCCCCGATCCCGCAGCGCCGCACGTCGAGCGCCACCAGCGCCGCGCTCTCCCGCACCGCCGCGGCCAGCGGCGCGCCCGCCGCCGCGCCGAGCGCGTTGCCCGACGCGTCCACCTGCGACAGCGTCCGGCTGCACCGCAGCGCGGCGGCGAGCGCCGCGCCGGCCGCGGGGCCCGCGCCGTTCGCGGCCAGCCCCAGCCGCTCCAGCGGCGCGCAGCCGCCGCCGCCGCCGCTGCTGCTGCCGCTGCGCAGCGCGTCTAGCAGCGCCTTGCATCCGTCGTCCCCCAGCCGGTTCAGCCGCAGGTCGAGGCTCACCAGCCCCCTGCTGGCCCGAAGGGCGCGCCCCAGGGCCCGCCCTGACTCAGAGAGCAGCTGGTTGTCCGACATGTCGAGGACGGCCAGGGGGCAGGACGCGTCGAGCACGCGCGCGAGCGCGCGGGCGCCGCGGTCGGCGATCTGCGGTCGAAGCGGCACCAACAGTGGCGTAGGCGAGGGGCAGAAAATCAAGGATCACATTGCATGTGCTCGGCACAGGTGAATTTAAGCAGACCCAGGCTTCGCATGTGGAGTAGAGTGCACTGCCTCCACCTGCTGGCATTCAGGAAACACCCATCACTCCGCAATAAAGGACGCGTCAGTGGCACAGCTGCAGCAGCAGGCCTCGCCGGCCGCCCGCGCGCCTTGTTGTGGCTGAGGTCGAGGTGCACTACGCTGATGTTGTTGGCCAGCCCGCTGGCCAGCATGAGCGTCTTGTCGTCGTCGAGCGAGTTGTTTGACCTGCGCGCACGCGAACGGGGCAAACTAGCTGTGCAGTCAACGCGCGCCCGTGCGGTCAACACGGGGGACAGGCGGGGCCGGGTCACGTTTGGGGGCTGACAGAGAATCCATTCCGCTGGGGCGCGGAGCCTTGGTGTTGGTTGTGCATCCAGCAGTTCGCGTGATAGTCATCACGCAGCTGCCTGCCCGGCCCCCCAGCCAGTCTGCTTGCGGGCTGGCCCGCAGCGGCAGCACTCACAGGTCCAGGTGCACCAGCGCCTCTGTCTGCGCCAGCGCGCGCGCCAGGCAGCGGCAGTCGCCCAGCTGCATGCCAAAAAGGGACCGGTCGTAGTCCAGGCCCACCCCTTTCGACCCGTACGCCAGGCACAGCGATGCTGGGGCGCTGCATTTGGAAACAGCATGTTGCGGAGAGTTAAGGGCACGCGCTGGACGTGAGAACGAAGCTGTGCGGCACGCGGCGTGGCAGCCACAGCACCGATGAAAACGCAGCAATGCGGCTGCACTCCTGGGTGCTGCAGTTGGTCGCCCGCTTTTCCTGCAGGCAGCGCACGACGCGTTCAGGTTTGGACCCCTCTGCATACGATGGATTCCTACTGCTGAAGCAAGCGCCTGCTCTCACTTGACCATGGCGTCAAAGAAGACCTGCGGGTCCAACCGCGACGGCAGCTGCCGCACGCGGATGTTGCGTGCAAAGCGGCGCGAGTACGTCATCAGCCGCCGCAGCGCCAGCAGGTCGCCAGTCCCCTGGTCAAACCTGGTCAACGCACGGAACGGGCGCGGCGCCAGCGTTGGCGTGGGCCGAGCGACGCAGCATATGGCGCAGCAAGGCGCCAGCACCGGTGCCCCGAATGAAGCCTCTCGCGCAAGGCCTGGCAGCGGCAACACTGCTGTTGGTGCAAGGGTCACCAGACACCCCACTCACTGCTCCAGCGCCTCCTGCAGGTTTCGCTCGAAGTAAAGCTGCTTCCATGAGCGCCCGTGCACGGCCGTGTCGCAGTTGCGCCACCGCGCAGTCGCGCGCCGCTGCCAGTAATCCTCATCAGCAATCAGCTGCAGGGAAGCGTTTGTGCTTCTGATCAAATCAGTTTCTGAGCTGAACGCACATGCCACATTGCCTTACAGGCACCAAAAGGCGCACAGCAGCAGGGCAGATAAGCGGCGGGCCCGTAGGCACGCAGCCAACGGCCCTGAGCGCATCCATCTGCAATGCCGTCCGTGCGCACCGTCCCGACCAGCTCCAGTGGTAGATCAAGGGCCAGACCATCCACAACCCGCTTGCATGACGCATCAGGGAGCTTTCCAAAGGTTGGGCTGTGCTCGAAGTTGCTGCTGACGGCGCGGATGCATAGGTCCTGCGGCGCGCAGAAGCAGCAGCGGCGGCGGCGCAGCAACGGCAGTCGTGAAATGCCCGGTTGGAGCGGCAAACGTTCATACAAACGTCGTGGTGTTATGTCAAGCTTTTGCTCATGTACTTTCGCCCGCGATCACCTTCAACGCCTGCACAATCAGCGGCCCGGTCGCCATTTTGGCTTCGCCGACCGCGTCTTTTGGCAATATATATGCTCGTGTGATACATTTTAATTCGTCAACCACTAAAAGTGCTCGTCTGTATACACTGTGCCTACTTGCTTCATGTGACTCACTATTTGACCACAAGTTTGACCAAGGGTCCAGGAGGGTTGGCCCAGGCGTTCCTGCATGTAATGGACAATAATCAGGACAATTGCATATGTTGTACACACAGACTGCACCAGTGCTCCCATGGCAGCGAGTGCGCCTGCACGCCTGCCCAACACGGACTCACTTGTGTTCGTTTCGTGGGCCATCCAAACCAGTGGGGCAAGGCAAGCCCACAGGGTACGTGGATAATGAAAGGCATCGCATGCAGTGTTCCTTGTCTGAATCCACTTCACCCACTCCCTGCCATGCGCGATCTTCTTGCAAGGTGTATCCAGGGGAAAGCAGTTGGTTGCGCTTTCGCAGGGTGTGCCCGAGGGCGCTGCACGTGATGCGGTTGACGGCATATACTGGACTTTCCCGGTATGGGCTCGCTGTGCAGGTGGAGGCTGTTCCCAGTTAGCAGTTGGTGCCAAGGCGGCAGCAGCAGCTGCTGCGCTGAGCGGCGCCCTTGCAGTGCCACGCAGCGCTCTGGTGCATTTCGTACAATAATCGTCCCACGTTCATCTATTCCCGTGCTTTACATCTCATCACAAAGGCACACGTCGTGTTGTGGGGCCTTGCAAGGAGCCCCTGCGCCCCACAGCACCCAGAGAGGGCCTCGACAACCCACGAGTATGACGTCCATAGAGAACCCCCGGGTCTGGTTTGATATAGAGATAGGGGGCGAGCCCGCGGGCCGCGTGGTGATGGAACTCCGCGCAGACGTGGCCCCGCGCACTGTGGAAAACTTCAGAGCCCTCTGCACTGGCGAGAGAGGCGTTGGTAGTTCGGGAAAGCGCCTCCACTTCAAGGGGTCCAGCTTTCACCGGATCATCCCAGGCTTCATGTGCCAGGGCGGCGACTTCACGCGCGGGAACGGCACAGGAGGGGAGTCTATCTACGGGGAGGTGCGTACCAAGGCAGCGGCGCAGGCAGAGGTGTTCCGAGAGGCGGTCGCCCCCGCGCCGCTGTGCGCGTGCTGCATTGCTGGCTTGTGTGCGTGCCAGGCACGTGCGGCACGCAGCACTCAACACAGCACATACAACGCTGCTCGGCGCCCCTCGACCCCCGCAGACGTTTGCGGATGAGAACTTTGTGCTGCGGCACGACGCGGCGGGCGTGCTGTCAATGGCAAACGCCGGCCCCAACACCAACGGCTCCCAATTTTTCCTGTGCCTGGCGCCCTGCGCATGGCTGGACGGCAAGCACGGTGCGCGCCACATCCCCACACCATTTTGTTGCCGGGCTGCCGCACCTGCCCGCCTAAGACCCCGAGCCGGTGTGGGGCGGGGGCGTTGCGACGGGGGACGCCTGCGCGGTTGCAGCGGCACGACTGGGTGCACGGCGCGGCTGCGTGGGTAACCACGAACTCCTCCCGCCTGTCGCACGTTCCCCGCAGTCGTCTTTGGGCGCGTGGTGGAGGGCATGTCCATCGCCAAGCGCATGGAGGGCTTTGGAGCGAAGAGCGGCCGCGTCAGCCGCCCCTGCGTGATCGCGGACTGCGGGCAGGTGCGCGCGCCCCCGCCCGGCGCGGCCACGGGCAGGGCGCAGTAGGTGACACGCCCGCCCGCTGGACACGGCCTGCATCCCTCTCTCTTGTCGCAGTCAGCCGGGCCCGGCGGCTGGGCCAGGCCAGGGGTCGCGTTCAAACGCGTGATCCAACACAACTGCCCGTCCCCTGTGCTCCGTTCCCTCACCCACTGCCAGGCGTACCTCTCATCTGCCCCCTTCTTTGCTCCGTGCCACCCTCTCCCCCCAGCTCCCTGGCCGCCTGGAGACCCTGTCAAAACTCAAACAGGAGAAGGAGGAGCTTGCGAAGTTGAAGGAGGACCCAACGGCGGTCAACCCGGACGACGAGGCCCTGAAGCGCCTGCAGCAGATAAAGCAGCGCCAGCAGGCGCGGCCCGCGGCGGCCGCCGCCGCGGCGGCGGCGGACGAGGAGGACGGCGAGCGGGGCGGCAGGGAGCAGCAGCAACAGCGGCAGGCCAAGCGGCCGCGGGAGGGCGGGGAGGGCGGGGACGCGGCGGAGGACGGCGCAGGCGGGGAGGAGGGCGGTGACGCCGAGGAGGACGGGGCGGGCGGCGCGGAGGCGGCGGCGGGCGGCGACCCGTTTGCGGGGCTCTCTGCGCGGCAGCGGAAGCTAATGGAGCTGAGGCAGAAGCTGCAGCAGTGCCGGAAGGCGAACGAGCATGCGGTCATCGCGGAGCGCAAGCGCATGCAGGTTGGCGGGGGCTGCGCTTTGCAGACCTCGAGGTTGCACTGCGGGAGAGAGCGGGTCTATTGTGGCTGCAGCTCAGCTCCCTTGTGGGTTTCGCAGCAGCCGCCTCGCAGCCGCTCGTGCACGCCTGTCCTGTCACGGCCTCCCGGTCGCTGACGCAGCGCACGCGCACCTGCCGCGTCGCGTCTTCTGGGCAGCGTGCCAAGGGCAACGACGGGGAGGAGGCGGACGACTCCTCCGCGGGGGCCAAGCGCAAGTGGTACGAGGAGCAGCAGAAGAAGAAGGTGCGGCGGCGGGCGCACAGGGCAAGGCTTGCCCTGGTGGTGCTGGGTCCTTGGCTGTGGGCGACTTGCAAGTTTGCGTCCACGGCTCCAGCCGGCCGCATGGGGCGGCCCTCATTGACACGCCCGCGTTGTGTTTGCGAGCGCAGCCCCGCAGCGGTGGGGCGCTCGTCACGCTCGTCCGTGCCGAGCCTTGCCCGCCTCGCCGCGGCATATCACACCACCACTCCTGCCTGCACACCCGCAGGCCGAGGAGCTGCAGCGGCTGGGGCTGGACCCCTCAAGAGCATACATGCTGGAGAGCGCTGAGGTGGCGGAAGCCAAGCACAAGAAGTCGGTGCGTAGTTGGCGCCGCGCCAGCCTGCCCCTGCCCGCTCCCCTGCCGCTCCCAGCTCCCCTGCGGGATGTAGCCCCCAGCCGGCCTGCTGCTCACAGATCATGCCGCTTTTTCCAGCGTCGGCCCCAGACCGTATCTCTGGCGATCATACGCCTCTGTCTGTGCAACTTCGATTCGCCACGACAGGAGAAGAAGGAGACGCCGTTTGGTTGGGACTCCTTCAACGCCAAGGCGCTGTACAACGCATACTCCAAGCGGGCCGACAAGATACCGGTGCGCGCCTCAGCGCGTCATCACTGCGTTTGTCACCGCTGATCTCCCTTGCGCCGTCCCTTTGAGCTTGACCGCCGCTGCCGCCTGCACACTGGACAGTGTGGGAGCACGGTGGCCGCCACACCCGCGTATTGTAGTACGTCAAGACATGCAGTTCTGCACGTCACTATCACCCCATATCACCCCCTCATTCCAGCAATGTGACCAACCCCCCTTGGCTTGTCCTGTACCGCCGGCACGTACCGCCGCCACAGGTCGACCCAGAGGCGTACCGCAGGGCCAAGGAGGAGAAGCCAGAGGTGGCGGGGGAGGCCGACCCACTGCTGTACGGCAAGGCGCCAGACGTGAGGCCCAGCATGCTGCGGAGGGGCTGCCTGATGACGCCGCGCAGCTCACTGCGCGGCGGCCCCGCCAGACCGCGCCTTTCTTGTTCTCACCAGCTGGCGCCCCTCTGCCTGGTAACATTTCCGCTGTGCAAGCATCCCGGCAATTCAACATCGGCGTGTTGGCTTGTGTAAGCCATTCAGCATGCACGTGCAGAGTACCCCGCCGCCCCGACCCGTGTGAGATGCTCGCACCGCCTGCTCGCCTTCCAGGTCGGCGAGGAGGGCGTGGAGCGCATGGTCTCGGAGCTCAACCAGCAGGCGGCCAAGCGGCAGGAGTACAGCCGCCGCCGCGCGGCGCGCGCGGACGCGGACGTGGACTTCATCAACGAGCGCAACGCCCACTTCAACAAGAAGATCGAGGTGGGCCGGGCTGATGGATCATGGAGCTCAGGCAGCCTGCTGGGGGCAGTGTCGCTGTGGGACGGGGCCTCTTGAATCACTGCAGCCTGCCCTCAACGGGGTCGGGGGCTGGGGGGGAGGGTTTGAAGCAGCGCTGTCCCTCCCGCGAACGTTGGCGGGGTGCCCGCCGCCCTCGCGCCGCCACACAGCCCCCTCGCAGCACCCCATCTTCCCCTCCCATCCTCAGCCCCAGCTGGATCCCCTCACACCCGCGCCCTTACTCTTACGCGACCGCTGCGGTCGGAATCACAACTCAACGCAGAGGGCGTTTGGCAACTACTCAAAGGACATCAAGGCGTCCCTCGAGCGCGGCACGGCGCTGTAGCGCCGCGCGCCGGGAGGCGCCGCCCCGCGCCGCCGCCGCAGAGGCGGGCCGGCCGCGGCGCCGCCGCCGACGGGCGCGACACGCAGGTGGGTGCTGCGCGTGGCGCGGCTGCGCTTGGGGGTGGGTGGAGGGGCAGATGATGAGCCTGACGAGGGGTCGAAAGGGTGCGTTCGCCATTGGCCGAGCCCCGCAGCCGCGAGCTTACCGGCGCGGGGTGGTATGACCGGAGAGAAAAGGTGTCTCGCGCGCAAGCGCTTCCGGCGCGCTCTTTGCGAAAGGGGCGTGATGGCGGAGAGGGAAGCAAGGCAACGATTGCTCGCGCCTTCAAACGGGGTCGGCGCTGCGGGAGCCCGTCGCGCGCCGCCCAGAAAGGGGCGCTACATACGAGCATGGCTGCACACCAAGACGCATGCATGCACGGTGTGTACAGGGTTTTGATGCTCATTGGTGAGTTCCCCTACGCTGACGCGCAGGCCCCTCCCTCCAACCTCGCTGCCGTGCCCCTGCTGCCGCGCCCGCTGGGCCTTTCGCAGGTGCTGCGTCGTCATGGACTTGGTCGCTACTGTACAGGCCAGCATTTGTACTTATCTGCATGTTTCGTGTTGCTTCCATGGCAGCTTGCCTTTGTAAATGTGCTGTTCTATATTGCAATGTGTGGGGTGGTGTACCGACACAGACCCAGCATCTAGCAAAGAACAAGCGGCGCAGCGGTTTCTCAATACCGTACTCACTGACCGGCACTGCGGCACCATCACTCTCGTCCAAGTTGAAGCCTTACGCATGCCATAGTCAATATGCTAATAAGACGTTCCCAGTACCTGGTATCAATGACGTTCGCAAGCCAAAGCTGTGACGCTCAAGCGCCATTCCCGCTTTGCGCGATCTGAGCGTACCACCCTTCAAAGACAAAGGCCATGCCATCAAGGAAAATTACAGCTTGCTAAAGGAGCTGAGTTCAGGATGAGCAGCGATCTGGTGATCGATCTGGCCAATTGCTTGCACCCATATGATGCAATGCAACCTGTTCAACGATGTAGATTCATGCATAAATTTTCTGTCCGGCGGCGTTTGCACTCAGCTATGAGGCCGTCCAATCCGAATGCGCCTGGCACTCCGCCCGTGCACGGTGCCGCAGGTTGTCCACCCCGAGGAGGTGGCGCTGATGTGCCTCTCGGCGGCGCTGGTCATGCCACCAGGCGCGGATGCGGGCTGGGCGGTCGGCTTCGACAGCCAAATGGCGCAGGCGGAGCTGGCTGACTTCCTGCTCGACCGCCTCTTGGTAGGCGCTCATCAACGCAGGCATAGCCGGCGATGGAGGCGGGGGCCCACCTCCTCCCAGCTGCTGTTTGGTATGGGCGGCATGCTCGTTTCTATGTGTATATACAAGGTCAATGCTGCAGCTGCCGCAGCTGCTGCCGGCGGGCGTGTGTGGCGACTGCTCCGGGCAGCCTCCTGCCCTTGCCTGAGTGCCACCCGCGTCATCAAACCCACAGGACGACGAGTCGCCCACCTACCTGCCCTTGGGTGATCTGGTGGTCAGGCTCGTATGCGATCTGGGAAAGGCGGGTTCGGTGCTGGCGCTGTCGATGCTCACCACCATGGGGGTGAGCTGCCGCGCCCCTTGCTGGCTCGCTTTGACCGGTCAAAGCGGCGGTGGGCGACGCAGGCGCTTCGCGAGTGTCCCTGCCGTGCAGGGTCCTGGTGCTTCCACAGGCGCTGCCCATGCAGCCCCAATTTGAAACCAGAGCAACAGCGCAAGGCAGATGTTGCTGCTGTTGTTGCGATATAATAAAAACAAGCCACCCCTTGTCGCCCTGCAGACGGTCATGGTGCCTGATGACATCAGCGGCATCTTCGAGAGCTTCGCGTGAGCCTTCATTGGGGCGCCAGTCAGCGGGCCCCAGCACAGACAATCTGCACCGACCAGCAGCGTCATCCCAGTTTGTTTGCTAGGCCTCATTTGTGTAGGCGGAACTGTCGGATTCAGGGGTGACCTTCAGGGGCGATGGGCGTGTTGGAGGCAGAGCCGCCCACCCAGACCTTCCCGCCGGTCCCCCTTCCTGCACGCATTTGCTGTCGGCAGGTCTCTGCTGGTTTCGTGCGGCACGGCCCCCGTGGATGCGTCGATACAGTGCATCGGTGCGGCCCGCGCCGAGCCGCCGCCGGGGTTGGGCAGGCGGGGGCCCAGGGACCCGCTGTTTGTTGGAGCTCGTTGGTACGCAACAGGCGCGGCCGTCCCTACATCACCCTGACAACGGGTGACGCCGGCCCTCTGCCCTCCTCTGCCGTCGTTGCATGCAGCCACAATCCGGGCCTGTGAAAGCACCAGACCCTTGTTTGTGTGTGAACACTCAACTCGACACCCATCCTCCATCCCCGCCCCTCTCGTGTCCGCGTACACCCCCCCCCCCC